ACTACTCTACTACTACTACTCTCTCTCTCTCTCTCTCTCTCTCTCTCTCTCTCTCTCTCTCTCTCTCTCTCTCTCTCTCTCTCTTTTTTCTCTCTGCAGGGTCAGGAGGTGACTCGCGAGAAATTTGCCGACTTGTGGAAGCAATATTTCTGCTCTGACGACCCAAACGTACCTGGAAACTTTATATTCGGAAAGACTTCTTTCTAACTCCGCCACCCCTGTGAGAATTGAAGGCGCGCATATACATATATATATATATATATATATTTTACGACAGATTATTATTTTATGCGAACGTACGACTCGTTAATGTGAGATAGACGCAATCCTGTAATCTAATAGTCAAAATTCTATTTCGTTTACTGCTCTCCCGTGTAATTATATCAAGCTAATGAATATAATTATAATTAAACGATCGAGAGAACATTGCATTACACCCTCTACTCTTTAACATCGCTTTCTTATATCGCAATTACAACGCATTTAAATCCCATTTATTACGGTAAAGTGATTTCGGCGGAACAACATAAAGTTTCTTTACGCAAATTGGTTTGTAATTTTATTTACTGGATATTTTATTGAATCTGCCAGCTAACCGATTGGTACGCAACAGAGGAAAAGTAACAGAATCAAATAAATTTAATTGGTAATTTTTTCTGCCCTGTGTGTCTATTGCTTCTTTGACGGTAATATTTGCAACAATCTCTCAAACTGCCGATCTTCAAAGCTACGATTTTATTTTGTACTTTTAACGTCCGGTCAAAGTATTTTGAAAAATTTATTTCTGCAAAAATGCATTAGTTCCTTCGATTAGAAAGCTTCTTATGATAATTATTTAGTATTAAATGCGTGCTAGAATTAAGTACCTATCCTTACGGCGGATATCGATCCATCACCACCGAGGAGCTAATTATGTCACATAGTATGTAAATAAATGCCCTTGCGAATTATAAAAGTGATTATGCTGTTTCGATGCGCGACACAAAGAAAGGCAAATCGAGATATTTTTCGTCGCATATATATTTATATATTCGCGACGTGTCCACAATACGGATCGAAAGATTAAACATAAATCTATCAATTTTTTTTTGTTCCGCCAATCTTGCCTTTACTTTGTCGGATTGAAAGATATTTTTTTGGACAATTTACCGAAACTGCTTGACACTTAACGCCAAAAGGAGAGACAGAAAAAGAGGAGAGAAAGAAAAAAATGGCTTTTCTACCATCTGTGGAAGATAGTTCGAGAATCGAAAACAAACGATGTCTGCATCAAACGCGCGCACCTCTGCAATCGTGGAATTTTTTTTCTAAAGCGTCACGGCTCGTTTTACGATAGCCATCTCTCTTTAATTTTCTCCACTATTTTTGTACAAAGAAGCCTTTTTATTAATTCAAATCTCCCCCTCCCTCTCTCTCTTTCTCTCTCTCTCTCTCTCTCTTCTCTCTCAATTTGCTATCTTTAGATTCATTCCGGCAGGAGTTTCTTTGCTGAAGAGAATTTTTTGCGGAAAACTATGCGTGTACGCGATATTCGAAAAAAAAAGAAACATAAAGCAAATCAGATTAAACGCGCACTGCTCGATTAACGACTGTTCACCATACAATGATGCGCGATTACATCACGTTATGCCGTAAATCGAATCATCTGTTCACTGTATGAAAATCGGATTTTTAGATCGGATGTTCGATCAACTAGCGATTAACTGACATTATACTGATACTTTACTGTCAAATTGCTATTTCATTGTGTTGTAAATTTGTTGTTGACGGAAATTACGTTATGTAACCGAGACCATTGCTGCGTCATTGCATATTGTATACAGCTACGAATACATACGCGTCAAATAATCATCGTGAAATTAACGGTGCTTTTTCCGAGAATAAATGGTTGTTGTAACAATGAATGTGTATCGTAACTGTAAAAGCAAGTGAATTATTAGAGGGAAAGATAAGTAATTTAATTTGCGTGTTGATCACTGTTGATTTCTATCAGCAGAAAATATTTTGCATTCGGAATGGTGGTGCAGTGCTAGAAAGATTGTATTCTTTAGATTCTCTTTAATTATCGATCACTGCCCCGTAGAGAGAAACAACATACGTTCGATTCCACCGAGTGTAAATAATGTTGAATCATCACGCGATATTTTCCGAAACCTGTTAGAAAGTGGATGTGGACCGATAATAACCGCAGAATTCTCGTGCGCCATAAGTCACATAATAATCATTAAACGAAACATATTTTATTTATTATTTATTATGCTGCTAAACCCACAAAGGGTTATCAGCAAAACGAAACATATAACGCGGCTATAAACTAAAGAGAAATATAGGAGTGTAGTGAAATACACGCTGTCAATTGAAAACGTCCAGGATAAAGTGACTCGTTTAATTTTAACGAAACAATTAATAACGCGCACTTCTGTTAAATAATTCTACATAAATACATAAAACGCTTTACATTTCACTTTTATTCGACAATTTGGATTAGCTGTTACGTGTGATTATGAGGTAATTATATACATTGACGAATTTTCCCTATATAATTTTCAATCTATTATTATTTATCAAAAAAATATCCGTAATTTATTTGATGCGTTAAAGTAATTTTTACCGACATTTTTTAACACAAAATTAAGTGTCACGACTGTCGTTTGTTTTTTTATACTCCAATTTCCATCTTTAAATAATTTTCCCGAATAAAATTTTCGGAAATTTCTGATAATTTTCTGATCTATCTAATAATTTTATAAATTATAATCCGCTTTAAAATGGATTTATTCATTCTAAAAAAAGTTAAAGCAACTTAAATTGTGCTTGTGGTAATGTATATGATTTCTTTTTGAACGAAGCATGCCACATATTAACTTGTCACAGACAATGTATACGTAATATTACTGTTCCTATGAGACATGCATATAAAAATGTTATATAAATATCAGAGCATGTCCCTATATGTGAGAGTTCGACAAGAAATATAAAATATATAATATATAAATATATTTATATATATATATATATATTTAATGTATAAAATTGCATGTTTCTCTCTTTCAATAAAGATATATCCTTATACATATCCCTTTCCTCCAGTTATGTTTATAGCGAATAAATTCACCGTACTACATATAGTAAATATGTAATTCGTGCAATGATCCCAACAATTGTTGTGATATCATTATTAAGATAAGACACAATAAATCATAGAAAATATAGTCACTCGACTTATTATGCTATAAAATGCTATAAAATCGCAGATGGTAATAAGTTCATATTTTTTGCTTCATATACGTGAAATATACGTAAAGGTCTTTAAAAAAAAGATGACTAAACGAGTCATTGCATGCCGTTGTCAATGGAGACTGGCTTTATTTCTGCGCTCCATATGCGCGCTTCTATTTACTCCATTAACTTCATCCTAGATAAGTAATTAAGATCAGGTATTCGAGAAGAGAAAAATCGCTCTCTGTCATTACATGTGTAAGTTAATATAAACTTAGTGCTCTTGGGTAAAAATCAGAATAAAATAACGCAATGCGTTTGTTATATAAAGAATTTTTTGTAGAAAGTAAATTCCATTGAATATTGGATTTCTTCCAAAACTTGTTCAAACTTGTTTCGTTTAAAAAATAAAAAGGAAAAAGAAAGAGAATAGAAATATAAGAAAAAAAGAAATATAAAAAAAATCTGAAAATTTCAATTATTATTAAAGGTGATACGCTTATATTTACTAAAATCTTTTTAAATTGGACGCACCATATCCAAGATTCAGAATTAACAAGTACCGATAGTATTAAAACAAAAATTATAGATAGATGTGAGAGATTCAGACAAGATAAACAATTATTCGTCGTATTGTAGCATTAAGTCATCTTAGTAATTTCACAATTAATATGCGTGTGAAGTTGTTAATGAGTATTAATGGGTAAGTAAATGGGTAAGTAATACATTTTGCTATATTGCACAATTGACCATTCACTTGTTTAAACTATAATATTTTTTTACATTTTATATATGAGTGTGTTCAATCGTGATACAACAAAGAAAAAAAATTTTAATTAAAAAGAAGTCTTTTACATATTAATTACGTAAATTAATTACTTTCTCAAAATAAATATAACAATGAATGTTATTATTAACTTTTCGCTTTTCAAAAGCTATTGTCATTCTTCTCAGAAAAAACGATATCTCATGCAAAACAATTTCGTTCTACATCGACTTAATTTTACCCAAAGAATCATTTTCTCTTCCATTGTATTTGATTTTCAGTGTTATTTCTAAATGTATTTCCGCTTCTTGTTTCTTTCTGTTTGTTTTACTTATTTAAAAATTTATTGTATAGTGCACTCATAGATGCATTATATGCAAATTAAATTAATATTCAATTGTTTATTAAATCTGTCTTTCAATTTTCTTGTAATCCTCAGTGACTTTGTGGCTTTATGTATATATTCTATATTAATCTGATTACGCTGTTAAAGTTCAATAAAAATGATAAGGTCAATAAAAATTCAAGAGCACGTATGATTAGTATATATGTGTGTGTGTGTGTGTGTGTGTGTGCGTGCGCGCGCGCGCGCGTGTGTGTGTGTGTGTGCGCGCGCGCGCGTCGCGCGCGTGTGTGTGTGTGTGTGTGTATACACACATTAATATTATATATATATACGGCATGTATTGTCCGTGGTGGCTCCATCTCGTCTACGCAAAACGAGTCAAGGGAGGGGGAATCTTTATCCGTTCCGGTGGGAAGATTCGAAAACAAGATAAATGTAGGAAAATTCGATGAATAATTCGAACGTTAGTTCGATTTGAGGAGTGTGTGACACAGTGAGTTTGCCGATAGACTATTGAAGAAAACGAGATGTGGGAATAGAAGCTAGTTAAGTGACATCTTGAAGAAAAAAATTTTTTAACTCGATTGTTAACAATTGTGATGGATTAACGAACTGTTTTAGTGGGATTTATTTTCGACAAGTGTCAGTCTCGTCACTTATCTCTCATTTATTCCTAATTTCTCAAATATATATATATATATACATCGCGATGTAATCTTCCGGCGAACACGTGCGCTGCTTATATAACCTCTAACACCTTAATATCTTTCTCTTTCTTTCTCGCAAGATCTCACTAGCTTTGCGTACTACGAGCTCGGAAATTCTCCATTTCCCGTCTCGCTCTTTCTCGTATCTTATCGTATTCCGGTACGGTATGCGATAACTTCACCTGGCCAAATCGGTCCCCAGTATAAGTTATCTTGTGTCACAAGTCGCTATGACGATTATTTTATGCGAAAATAAATTCCTCTGTCCGGACGTTCACCCATTCGCGCGATATTCCCACTCCCTAACGGGCTTAGATGTCTGCTTCAGATTTATTGATAAGTGAAAAGTGTGGAATCTTTGAATTCTTCTATCGCTCATCATAAGGTGCAGTTAAAATAAGAGTAATGTGAGTAAGCTTGATTGTTACTTGTGTTTGTGCAATTTATTATCTCTGTCTCACTGTGTTATCCAAGTCTAAATTCTTGTGCAATTAATCGTAGTCAATACGTTATTTTTCTTTAGTTCAAAGATTTAAATGTTAAAATTCATTTCTTATGCATCAAATAATGTAATAATATGTAATAAAATTATCAATACTGTCAAAAAATTTGATCTTAGAAATATATCATCTTATTGTATATGATCTTAAAATTTTTGTATAATAACTCATTCATATGCATTAATGTAAATATATTTAAACATACATATAATATTTATATTTAACATATGAATTATTCTTATTTATTCTTATTTTTTATATTTTCTATCGCATTATGCCTATATTTTCATAGGTCGGGTACTAACGATGAAATAAAATATTCCCTGGAAATAGATGAGATAGAAGAGTATGCCATGACTTGTCTGGGGACATTAGTATTTGCGGACAAACATTCTCGACAATCATCAATTGCAGGTGATTCATCTAAGAAACAGGTTGATTCTTTGTCACTAGCATTTGAAGATCTTTTCACTATGCCATATAACATCATACAAGATTATAGTTTAACTATACAACACTTAGATATCAGTAACAACATGTTCAGCAGGTAAGCAAATATTTGCCATCAATAGTGCCTGTAACAACATTTGTAAAGAGGCAAAATTATATTTGTTATATGATATGTTATTTGCTATTTGATATATGTTATATGAATATGTCCAATAAAGATAAGACAAATTGGACATTTCAGGAATTTGCAATTTTTATCTGAGTTTGACAACTTGAAGTCTGTCAACTTGGATCACAATAAAATAGATGATGTCACTGTGTTTCCAAACATGCCAAACCTCGAGCTTCTCTGGTTGAATCATAATTGCATAAAAAACCTGTATCCTTTCATTAAGAATCTCCATAGGAGTATACCAAATCTGAAATACTTATGTCTTATGGGAAATGAGGCAGCACCTAGTTATCTTAATGGTGGAGATTTCTGTGATTATATTCGGTATAGGTATGTTGGGAGAATTTTTTTATATTACTAAAATATATTTGGTTTATATTCATACTTCACTTTTATCAATAAATGTGCTTACTTACTTTTGAGATTCTGTAATATTAACTAGATATTAAATATATATATTTAAAAGTACACTTTTTCATCAATAATAAAATATTAATTCAGACTTTCGTCTTATTGTATACTTGTGTGAAACTGTATTAAATTTCTGAAACAGATTGTATGTGCTATCTTGGTTTCCACACTTAGTGCATTTGGATGACAGAATTGTGACCGAGCAACAACTGCTACAAGCTAGAAAACTATTCAAACAATCATTGCTCGAGGACTTTGCAATGCCGGAGTGCATTAAAGATCTGCACAATAAGATAATATATTCTAAATCATCAGTGTCTGACAGACAAAGGATATCCGATGGAACAAATTTGATTGTCTAAACAGTATTAAAAAAAACGCAGCTCACAAAAAAACCTTAATAATATCGTCTTCAGAGAAGAAATCTTTAAACGAGATTATCTTTAAAGAGGAAATGAGATTAGAATGTTTCTATTAGAAACATAATGCCAAAATAATTAAAGCAATATATAGAGATATTTTGTGATGACATATAGGACATACGTACAAGAGCGTTGTGTTTAATAGTCATTTTTTATAATAGTTGTGTTAGGATGCAGCTATATGAACAAATAATTTACATATTTAAATATAAATATACATACGAAATACTTGGAAGATTAATTTTGAATTGTATATTATTAACATACGTTATTAGGCATACATATTTTACTCGAATTAAGTATTTGTATTATGTGTAAGCCTTTTTTTAAAATCATGTACAAGACATGTGCTATAGAATATTATTTTATATTCAGTACACGTGCGTCAGAAGAAGGACTTTACGAATGACATTTGATAAAAATAAAATTTGTTTTCATGAACATTTTGTATTCTTTTCGATAACAATCCGCATGATAAAGTGTTAGAGCATAATTCCAAAATGTACTTGTCGGAAATCTAACTATTCTTCATTTTAGTTACACCACAAGAAAACTTGAAGATCTTGGTGGATTCATGAAGCCGAATCTTCGTAAGATATAGATTCGTTTTCTGTTTCTGCACTAAAATTTTTTATCTCACTTTTATCAAATTTCAAATATATTTATTTCATTTTAAGGATAAGCGACGAGTGGCTACAAAAAAACAGGTCGTATAAAAATGATGTATAATACAAATATATTTTACATATTTAGCATATTTTATTTTTTACAATCTTCGTAAAATTCACCACATTTTTGAACAAGCAACAATCGCGAGACGATTCACGACTGACGAGCGGCGATATTACGATATTATTCTCGGAATATCGATCCGATTTATTGCTAATCGAAGTGATAAACCGACCAATCACGTAAAACCGAGTCTTACGTGATCTGGGTTTTGTAAAAAAATAAATGAAGCGCGCGTAAATGCGAGATATAACTTCGACGAGAGGAAATAAATAAAAATAAATAAAATGATTGACGCAGCTGATTATAAAATGAAAACATGATTGATAAACTGATTGTAAAAACGGCAGCGCGAATATTCTTCGGACGCCAGTCATGTTTTCGCTGATACTTCGAGAAGTCCTTAACGATATGGCATCTTGGTTGAATCTCAGGTAGGCAGAAGTCGGATATTTGACAATTGATTCCACGGAATATTTGACACTACAACGAAAATCTGAAACGAAATCTGTCCTCGCGAGACACTCGCGATAACATCTTGTGCGTAAAATTTACTTTTGCTTGAAGAAAAATTGAGTAAAATACAGAGTAATGCGGACACGCGATCTATATGTGGTTTTATAAATAATTGTTAATTCGAATCTAAGAGCGACGCTATGATTGGTTCGCTGCCTCGATATTCGCAAGCTAGCTCGCGATTTTAAATCATGATCGTTCATTGTCGAAGAATTGATTACTAAGTGAATTTTTTGTAGAAAATTGTTTATTAATCGTGCATGTTACATTCAATATACTAAGTATTCAATATACTAAGTATTATTTATGGAGGTGATATATGTTATTTATTGCATACATATGTAATACATAAACTATTTCCGAATGCATACTTCGGAATGCACATGTATTACTATCACTTTTATTCGTAATGTGAAGTAAACGCGCAAATTCTCGTTTTTATACTGCTCCGATGAACTTTTTATAAGTGTAATCTTCAATAGTATACATAGATTCTAAAAAATGTTTGAAGAATATCAAAAAGTAAATTACATATATATTTCCTTGATATTTAAGTAAATATTGTTGTAATAATATATATATATATATATATATGTATATATATTATGTGTGTGTGTGTGTGTGTGTGTGTGTGTGTGTGTGTGTGTGTATATTGAAAAAAATGTTCGCATGTACGAGTATTCTATTATATTTATAAATCATATTTACATATGATATATCTATATGTAGTATAAGAAATATACGTATACATTAGATAATATATTTTAGTGCACACTAAGGAAGAATAAAAATAGCATACTCAATATATTTGTAATATGGTAGGTATATCAAATATGAACAGAACATGTAATCTATGTTTTTAATATCTTTCAAATATTCTTAGAATATGTTCTATATGTTCTGTTAAGGATATAACATATATTAAACATAACATTATATATTCGATATATTTTTGAGCAGGAAATTATAGTATTAGTATAATGTTATTGTTAGTTAATATTTACTGAAAAAATGGTTTGAGATGGCCTTTAACGTCTTCACAATTTTTTAAAATTTGTTTATTAATTATTTATTTTTAATTAAAGCATTACTTAAGAATCAGAAATCAAACTAATCAATTCCCATAAAATATAAAAAACAGAGAAAATTTACGAAACTATATTAATTATGTGCTTTGGTACTAAAATTGCGAAATTTACAAAGCTAATTTGAGATTGCTAATTGAGATAGCTTAATGAGAGGCTATTTGAGTCAATACTGATTTCTATTTCTATATTTATAAAAACTAATTTCTATATTTAGGAATTCTTTTCACTGGTATCTCTGTAATATTTTTGTAAAAGAGACTTATCTGCTTGTTTATCGCTTTTTATGGTGTAACATATGTGTAGATATGATTTTCTGAAGCGTAATCCTTCCAGAAGGAGAGATTTACCTGCGGGAGATCATCACAACTTTCGAGCAGATTCCTGAAAGTTTTATAACTTAGAAACAATTGTTTCATTCGTACGTTAATTCAAATTAAACAGTAAAGATGAGATATGAATTAACTAAACTTACGTTTCGGAGAGGTGTATGAATCCTGATTTTTGCATGTATTGAATATTATCGCCATTATCGCAGAGTAGTCGCGATATACTTGATTTTCGTATTTCGCGCAGTTGTTCTATATATGAAATAGTTAAAATATTATATACTATATATATATATATATATATATATATATATATATATATATATATATATATAATTTATATTATTATATATATAGCGCGTACCTATGGTAAATGCTATTTTGGATCTCCTGTTTCGAACCAGTAACGATCACCGGCCCGCGTTTGTTGAAATTGTTTCAACATGATACATAGGAATGTTGGTCCAGCCAATGTATCAGGAATATGCCTTTCTAAGGATCCACCGACGGATAAATCAACATCGTCCGGATCAATGTACAACGTAGAGAGCTTTTGTATATCCTAAAATTTGAATTCTATTCTAGTTTAAACTGCATCTATAGATAGATCTGTCTTACGCACCGAAAGAGATATGTAATCGGCAAAGTCATTGAAAGTTTTCGCTCGTGGCAGTCCGCAATATTCGCGATAATCATTGTAGGAAGCGAGCCCATGATCACGATCTCTTTGAATGTCTATTGCTCGTAGGTCGGACCCGAGGATTCTTCCTCTTCTGAATAAATATTGTGTGATCTGCAAATGATTATTAGCGAAAATTTCTTTTTATTTAAACATTTCTAATTAAACTCCTTTCTATCTTTATTGTTGACAAATATAAAATGTTATTATATATAATAAAATGTTATTTTATTTGATGAGTTATATTTTTAAACATTTTGTTTTTTTCTTTCTTGACTCAATTTAAATAAATATTAATATGTATATAATAATATTATATACACATTAATATATAATATAAAATATTTAAATAAATACCTCTTTATCAAAGAATTCATCAGTGTTCTTTTGCAGTTGACAAGAAAAACCCCTTGCTAAATTGTCCAGATTGTTACCCTCCTCTATGATGCCAGGTCTGTTAAAATGATCGCTCAATCTCAGAGCAACAAAGGGGGATCGATCTTCCGACACTAAGCTGATAAACAAAATTTGTTATTTTAATAGGAAAGTTTAAAACAGATTTATATAATGAATGTTTCATCATTCATATTTAATTGATAGTAATCTAAAAAATGTGTAACTGCCACCAATAATTTGATCGCATGCTTGTTTCGTAAAGGAATATTGATTTTGATGTTAGAGTAAATGAATGATATAAATTTGAAAATATCTTTATCCGAAAATTTAATTTGCAAATTCATACAGAAATTTGTATAGAATTAGGTATGTAATATGTTACCATAATTTGAATATAATCAAAATGATTTACACATTTAATGTAGTCAAACATTGTATTAAAAATGTCATTGAGATGACGAGAACAAATAAAAATTACTAAACACTTACTTTATTATGCCAGCAATATTTGAATGGAAATATCTAATGGCTGCATTCGAATGTTCGTTCAGTACGTTAGCGTTAACGGTTTCGTCATAATCATTCACGTAATTATCAGTATGGAAGAGGATTTTATTAGTAAAAACTTGTTTTACACCTGAAATATATATTAATTATTGCTAATGTGAAATCTGAATGTAAATAACAAAAATGAATTGCAAAAATATTGAAATTTGTAAATGGTATTTTTACATTGGATACACTACGCATACACTACTTTTAAAACAAGTGAAACTTATACAATGATTATCAAAGATCTTTCAATTTTGTAATTAGAACGTAAAAAGTATTAAAAGTGAAGGAAGTTTGATATGATCGAACCTAAGAAAATCGGCAACCATTCATAGTATGCGATGTTCTGATGTTCAGCAATTACGATCCGACGTGCTTCTTGGAATATTGTCTCATCGGTCCAGTGAGGATTCAAGTCTGCCAAGTAATCAGCAACGCGATTGTGTTCTCTGAGCAAAATGATATGTAAGATCGTCAGTTGTGGATTTTGATTGGCTCGCGGGTCACCTGAAAAATATTTTTTGTGTATAGCTAGTATTGCTTTTTATCTAAATTTTATTCAAAAATAATATTGCAAAGAAAATGCAAATGCAAATGCATGTTTATTCTTACCGGTAGCGTAGCATGGCTCAAAATCATATACCGTGTCGCAAACGGCAGTTCTGTTAGGTGCCGATGGTGGAAATTCCCTGTTATGTTTCAATTCTACGTTTAAACGACCGCCGAAACCGGCCCGCAAACTAGCGGCGACTTCGTCATTCGATCCGTAAACGAGTGAAAGGTCCAGATAGTGAGAAACGGTATTCAACTGAAAAATATTGCATACCGATCGCGAATTGAATAATCTTGCCGCTACCAAAACCTTTGAAATTATGGATACAAATCCATAATTGGATAGCTGAAGTGTTAGAGATTTTATTAATTAATTGTCTACACGACGAATCCTAGATAAAATGCGAAACGTGAAATTAAAATATAATCTAGAAAATATATCCCATCTCGCTTAAAACTAGGCGGACAAGAATAATGCGACACCAAGTTCATGCAAGTCGTCGATTATTGCATCGATATAACGATTTAATTACACCTCGCGTCTGACGTAATAATGCATGACAAGTCAATCACAGACGAATGAACAAATATGATACCTGTTCTGCCGGCACGTACGGAAGCGAACAGCCACGATCAAGGTCGGTTGTACTACGAACGAAGTTCATGCATTCTATGGAGGTTCCGCTGTACACAGGATCATGTTCGGGTATCAATATTGGAAAGCATCGGGAATTCGTCGACACATCCGATGGTAGTTGACCGTCGAATGTACAACATCGGGTGTTGTGCGATTCTGTGCGTTTACACGATTGAAACGATAAATCGATGGGCTCCAAAAGCTATTAATCATCGTCACCGATAGATCAGTGACATGTAATCTTGGTACAGAGTGCGAAACGTACTCGATTGAGTGGTGCCATCGATCAAGCCCATGTCATGCGTCATGACTTGTCCGTATTGCATCGCCACCAGGGTCCATCTTTTGTCGTTAATGTCGTTGTTCGGGAACATAGTGTAACTGACCTTCCGAGCTAACGGCAGCTCTACACCGTAAATCGATCCCGACGGTGCTCGAATTCCTAAACAAATTTGAAAGACAAAATATTAAATTATTTTTTAAAGATGTGAAAACATCGATAGTATTTCTAATTAAAAAAAATATTATGTAATAATTATATATGATAATCAATGTGCCATTATTATTAAGCTCTAGAAAGTTTACATATATAATTCTTTTTTTTCTTAAGATGTTACAGGTATAACAGGTATCTTAGATAGAAAGTTTACTTGTAGTTGTAAGTTGGAAGGAAATTAGGCTTAAATTAGTTTTAGTTTCGTCATGTTACGGTTCGATGCGCAAAATCTATAAATCGACGCGCGTTCATATCCTAT